AAAAAAAAAAAAAAAAAAAAAAAAAAAAAAAAAAAAGTCAAGAAAAACGCAGAAGGTGCAACTGATCTGTTCAGAAAAATTAAGAAAAAGTAGGTACTACTGTTGGTATTAAATTGGGTCTTAAAAGACAGAAGTATTTTAATAAGCAGGAAAAAACCAAGAAGCTACTGGATCTAGCAGATACATCAATGAAAAGGCAGTTTTACAATAGTGGAAGGGCAGAAACCAAACCAAATGGATAAAATGATAAGGAAACAAAAGCAACACATACATTATACTATCAAAAATTAAAAGTGAAAAACTGTTGCTGTTCTGGTTTAAAACTAAAGGAAAGGGGAGTGAAAGCACAAACAAGAGCTCTGTCCCTTCATACAATAAATTATCTGAGCAATGTGGGACATAGATAAGCAATTAAAAAAAAAATCAAGGAAAAGTTCTCTAATCCTGAAGCAAAGATACTCAATTGCAAGAATAAATCATATAAGATGAAAAAGTTCATGGAGAAACCATCGCCATTAACATTAAACCTAACATTAAGCAATATTCATTGCTTTAAAAGGAAGAAAAATGAACCAGCATTAGATTTTCAGACCCACAATGAAAAGACTGTTCTATCCTAAAGTATATCACTAATTTAGGATTTAACCTTGAGACTAAACATTAGCATCAAATTCTCTGTATCATACCTTAGAACTTTCAAAGAAAAGCCAATACTATATTAATATAAATGTGATCAATTAAGGTAAAGTACACAGCCTCAGGGTAATTCATAAAAGGCTTAACCATAGAAACAGAATACGCCCTGCCTCTAACCTTCCCACCAGAAATGACTCTATTCAACAGAAGATCAAAACAGTCTATCAAACCCAAAGAATTCTCCAAACTGCTAAGTAACTTTTTATAAAGCCTGACTTTTCTTCTTGATGAGCTAAGCTAGCATGGCAGTGGTCCAAACATAGAGACCTACATTCATGAACTCATCCAGTTCAATTACCTCCTGCAAATTTAGTTACCAGCCATGTAAATGGCTTGGATTTCTGATATTTTACTTTTGGATACTGAAAGTTATCATAAATGATGTGAGTTCCTTCACCAACCAAGAGCTATCCATTAAGAGTAAAATGAAATATCTTTAAATCCTAAAATGACTTCACTGTGCTACCCAATGTCTATAGGCCATATATCATATAACCATTATTTAGTGTGATTAAAAGTGTAGACTAAGGTGAACCAGGAGCTTGAAAATACTCTGCAGTAAATCTCTGTTTTAACATGAAAACACATTGAGATGGTGTTAAATAAAAACAATTATTACTGCACAAGAATGATTTCATTTGTACCAAAAAGTTACACACTTACATAAATGTATACTTAGAAAATGGAAGGATGCTTATTAGCTATAGGTGGAAAGAAGGATAAAGAATTAAAGAGGGGCTGGGATTCCGGTTCAGTGGTAGAACGCTTGCTTCACACATGTGAGGCACTGGGTTCAATCCTCAGCACCACATAAAAAGTAAATAAATCAACTAAAGGTATTTCTACAAATAAAAAAAACTAAAAAAAAAAAAAAAGAATTAAAGAGTGTTGCTAGGCATGGTAGCGGATGTCTGTAATCCCAGTGATTGGGAGGCTGAGACAGGAGTATGACAGGCTCAAAACCAGCATCAGCAACCTCTCAAGGCTCTAAGTAACCTAGCAGGCCCAGTCTCAAAATAAAAAGAAAAGGCTGACTCAGTAGTTAAACACCCCTGGGTTCAATCCTTGGTACCAAAAAAAAAAAAAAAAAAAGTGTGAAGATGGTGGATGGTGATTTTGTAAACAAAATACATAATTAATATCTATATAAATTTTGGACTTAAAAAAAAAACCCTGCTTTTAAAAAAAAAAAGTCACGAAAAAGAAATTTTTTTAAACTGTTGAAAAAAATATTTCAATTTCATGTACTTTTAGAACTTCCCAAAGCACATTTTCCCCCCCCCCCCCCCCCCACCACCGCAAGACAACTGTCTTGAGAAGTACAATACAACTTTTCTCCTCCTTGGTTACCACTGTCATAGTAAAGACATCTGTGCTTCTCTAGTTTGAGTTTGTTCCCTTCCACACTGTACAACAGTAAATGTTAACATCCCAATCATCACTGATGTTTACTGAGTACACACGTAAAGCACAATGTTGTAAGATATTAACAAATTATATCTGCCATTAGGCCTTAAAAATAAGTTGAAAAGAGAAGATTCCCTTAAATTAATATACAGAAGGTTTTACTCTTAAAAAGTCATTCCCTGACATCCTTATCATTTATGCTTAATGCTTAGAGATTTTTTTCAAGTGTGAAATATCCTTAACACGGACTGATACTTTTCCCATAGTTTAAAAAGAAAAAGATATTAGACACTAAGACTAAGGTGAATTCTTAAACAAATTAAAATTGGGTTTGTAGTAAGACCTACCTTAAATGACTTAACTGATAAAAAAGTTATAAAAACCAGTTATTTACCAAAAATGTCTAAGATTTCACCTTTACATTTTGAAGATTTTTTAGCTCCATTATCTTAAAATTTATTCTATGTCACAATTTATGTTTTTAAATAGAATGTAATTCTCGATGCATTTGTGTAATAAGTTTCCAAGTGAAATGTTACTATTATTATAGAATATTTATAAAATACTCAGTATAATATTGCCTAGGATAAAGGCATTAAGCATTAAGAAAAACTTACCTCATCACAGTCTCCTTCAACCATGGCATATATAGCTTTCTTAACCAAGTTAGTACCTAGAATATAGATCTGAGCATTAATGAAGGAAAAATATTATTAGTTTACTCATATTCATAATAAGCACAAATATGTAAAATGTTAGGCTCTATCATGAATGCGGATATGCTGATCACCTCAAATTAAGTGCGAAAAAATAATTTAGATATAAGCTGAGAGGAACCAAAGGGAATTTAGACACAAACAATTTAAGGTTCCTCTTGAAAGAATTATCTCCTGATACATTCTTTTTTCTAAGATGTAATTATTTGCCCCAAGCAGGAGTTTGTTTTATTGTTTGAAGGTAGGAAGAAAGGAAAAAGAGATGGCCAGAGCAACCATGATGTGATATGGCCAGAGCAACCCATGACTACCATGTGCTAGCCAGAACTGCACGATCTGAGCAAGGCACAAGACAGCTTCACAGGAACTGCTGTGCCCACACCAGGCCAAGACACTCAGTTCCTACAAATCTTATAGTGACCCTAGGTGCAACTAAATTTGGCATTCTTAATGATGTCAGTGGTGTTATCTGTAAATGTCTAGCAAATGTATCCTACTTTGGATCAGAAATACCTGACACACTGAAAGAAAAAACTTCCAAATGATTTTAAGACAAAAAAACAAATTTCAGTTTAAAAACCTCTTAGTTTTCAAATCATGCATACTAGTATGTATTCATTTCATGGGCCACACAAATTGTATCTGAAGGGCAGAATGTAACCCTAAAGCAACTGGTTTCTGCCCTATGAACTAGCCAAACAACTCCCTATCATTTTTCACAAGTCCTATCAGCTCTTTTCAATCCACTGAAAATTAAACTTGGTCTACAAAACAAGTCTAATTAATTAAAAAAATTTTTAATGGAAATTACAATACTATTAAAAAAAAAATTCAGTTAAACCTAATATATTGGCAGGCACAGTGGCACATGCCTATAGTCACGGCTACTTGGGAAGCTGAAGCAGGATCTTTTGAGCCCAGGAATTCAAGGCCAGCCTAGGCAACATAGTGAGACTCTGTCTCAAAAAAAGAGCAAACAAACAAAAACACCTTAACATTAAGTAAACCTATTTATGATAATTTCTCATGACATCAAATACTATATGAAATAGTCTTATGTTAAGACAATAATGTTCATTTACTGTTTCCAAAAGCTGCAAGTAACAAAATTGCTAATAATTAAATATTGGTACAGATATCAAGTATTATTTCATGAATACTTGCTTAAGTACATCCCACAATTTGGCATGCTTTAGACAAATGTTTGCTTACCTAAGCCTCCAATCTTCCATCATGGGGGAAAAAAAAAAAGCCAGTAGACACTAGAACTAGAACAGTGTTTTTTTTTTTTTTCCTCTCTTTTGTACTGTAGAATGAACCCAGGGACCCAATGTGCTATACTTCCAGACTTATTTATTTATTTTTGAGACAGGTTCTAAGTTTCTGAGGCTGGCCTTGAAACTGCCTCAGCCTCTAGAGACATGGAGATTATAGGAGTGAGCCACTAGCCCAGCATGGTTCTTAAGTAGGCTTACTTCAGTCACTGGGGGAAGTTTTACTCCTACCTGACAGGATAAACATGATTCCAAGGAAAAAGGCCAAAACACTTGCTTTTAAATCACCCAGGTGGTTTTAACCACCATTATAAACCATGAGCATAAGACTAATTAAACATGCTGGGAAAGGTAGACCCCCAAAGAGGTGAATTTGGAACTAGTAAGAAATAATCAATTCTCCTTTCCTGAGCCTCCCTTAAGTTGAAATATGTTTGACAACTAGCACAAAGTAACAATAACAATTATTTCATACTTTGGGCTTGATTCAGATCCACGTAACCCAAGGATGAACAGTTGCTTCAGGAATAGGATCAAGTGCCCTCATAATGCTATTAAAAACTGCAGCATCTCTTGTACTTCAAAATGCAGAGCATTTTGAATGTGATCAGAAAAAAAAAGGTTTGAAGATGTGAACTGATCACCTTCTACTTGTTAAAAAAAAAAAAAAAAAATCTCTAGCCAGGTTTAATTGTGCACACCTGTAATCCCAGAGGCTTGGGAGGCTGAGATAGGAGGATGGTGAGTTCAAAGCCCACCTCGGAAAAAGTGAGGCATAAGCAACTCAGTGAGACCCTGTCTCTAAATAAAAAACAAAATAGAGCTGGGGATGTAGCTCATTGGTTGAGTGCTCCTTAGTTCAATCCCCAGTACCCCAAAAATAATAATAATTCTCTAGCAGGGCAGAGTGGTGCACATCTTTAATCCCAGCTATTTGGGATTCCTGAGGCAGGAAGATTGATTGCAAGTTCAAGGTTGGCCTGAGCAACTTAGTAAGAACCTGTCTCAAAATAAAAATAAATAAATAAAAGGGGCTGGAGAGACAGTTAGAGCACCACTGGGTTCAATCCCCATTACTACCCCCAAAAGAAATCTCTAAAATCATTAACAAGAAAAGAAATTCATTTTAAGGCCTTTCTGGATATATTACTTTAAAATAAAAACAACTTTTAATTTTCTTCCTTTACCTTCATTTCTATATATTTACATTTAAATCTTTTGTTTTAAAACACAAAAAAATGAAAATAACTTAAGTCACCCTTTTATTGAAATAATATTTATCTTACCAATGCCATTTCTCCTGTATTTGGAATCCACAGCTAACATGGCTATATAACCTCTGCGGAACATCTTTTTGTGCATATCCAACTTGCAAACGATGGCACCTACACACTCCTCCCCTACCATGGCCTTAAAAATAAACAAACAGTTATGAAGAATACATTGCTAAAAGGTACTGCACAATTACCCAGGGAAAACAGCAACCAACCATTGGTCAGCATTTTTGAAAGAGGAAGAGATAATGACAGCAACCACAAAAGTTTCAGAAATCTGAATCCCAAAACTCCTTCAAATGTTCCAGTTTTTAAAAGTCTCTCAATATTTTTAGAACATGAATTTCTCATGCTTATCAAAGCCTGGAGGAAAAAGATTTTTCACAAAGTAAACAATCAAGTACTTTATAAGATTATACGTGAGGAACTTAAAATTACAATTACATGCAATAAAGACCTACTTAAGTTTTGGGAAGGGGGAACAGGTGAGCAAAGTTTTTTAAAGAAAAAATGTATTCATAAGCATAAGATGAAACATACAATTTTCCCATCAGCAGAATATTATAAGTTTTTATAATAAAGTTTTAATGAACAATATTACATAACATTTATACCTGAATGATAAGATTTTGATCAAGAAAAAAGTTTATAAATTTTCAGGAAAAGGAATATTATTTGTAAAATATTGCTTAGATTCGAGATTTTGTTATTGAAGTATTCCAAAGACTAAGTAAATGATGGTCTTAATTTTAGAATACTCCTGATTACGGGTCATTGTCATAAAGCTCTCTATAGCTCAAAATCAGAGATTTACATTAATGAATATGATTAATTATTTTGTCAGTTTCTATTTTGTCAGCTTCCCAAAGTGTTAGAGGCTACATGTTAAATAAATGCTAATAATCCCCCATTTTCACTAACATTTCCAGTGTCATCACTGCAAACATATTTTAAAAATCCCAAAACTGATTTAAAAAAAAGTTCTAATATTATATTCTGATGAATATAAAACAGGGTAATATCTCTAACTGTTTAATAATGTGTCAGCAAGCAGTACTTCTTTTCGGTAAATTACCTTGGCAGAAGAAATAATTTCAACAACAAAAATAGGTTGGGTTAAAAGTTAATAACAAAGCTCAATTTATACCTAAGACATATTTTAACTTTATTTGTAGTAACTTTTTTTAGCCTGTCATTCTATAAATTTAATAATTTATTCTATAAATTGATTAAAGGCTCACTTTTTTTTTTTTTTTTTAATAAACTGTGGAGAAATCTTTTTTAGGCAAGATAATTCTAATCCATTTCACACAAACCTAAAATAGGTCAGAAAAATCCCTCTGAAGGGATATTAAATTCAACAACCCACACTAGTTCATTTCTGTTTTATCACACATTCCAAAATTATATTGGGTCAATAAACCTCTAAAATTATTTCCATCTTTTTTTTCATTTACAATAAATCAATGTGCTTTAATTCTTTTGAAAATTAAATGTTCTTTTGGCATTAAGGCCTGAAATACACACAAAAGTTATTTGATCAAACAAGTCTCTGACTTTTTTTTCTTTTTGGTGCTAGGGATTGAACTCAGGGCCCCTATATGCCATCTACTACTGAGCTACATGCTCAGCCACTGACAGCATTTTTTTTTTCCCCCTTTTCTTTTTGGTGCTGGAGATTGAACCCAGCATGCTACCACTGAGCTATACCCCCACAATCCTCATGACAGCATTTTCTGAATAACTCACTTCAAACACAAATATTCACATGTAAACTCATCAGATCAAATGGTACTTTAAAAGGGCTAGAAAAAAATTGTGACCTGACCTCATAAACTAAGCTCACCTGATATGAAAGAAAGTCTATATTAACCTCTGACATAAAAATAAAGGACAGCTACACCTTACAGATGTTAAAGCCATTCAATCAAGAAAAAATTAAAATCACTGACTACAACTAAACAATACTTTCAAATTAAACAGGAATTTCGAGCATATCTTTGTTCTTTGCTCAAGAAAGTAAAAAGCAAACAAAATACTATATTATTTCATTCTTAGACAAGATTGAATATTTTCCTAATTAAGAATCTAGAGAAGCAAAAACCAAGTTGTACATTTCATCTAAAAATAAAAGCCCAATGCAGGATACACTATTAATAAAAAAGTTGCTAGTAAAGATAGATACTACATTCTTTCATGATAAATTGTTGATAAATATACATTTACAACAATCACTAAATTGCTTTATGATATTTTCAAATAAAAAGCTTCTGCACATACTTTTAAGACTCATGCTATTAAAATGTGTTTTTTCAAGTACTGGAATTCAAAAATCACTGGCAAGATTAAGATTTAACTCTATAAGGACAAAGGTTTGTCGGTCGATAAAATTATGAAAAACATAAATTGTGTGAAACAGAGATTACAAAATTCCAGAACACTACAAATAGAAAACTGAAGGAAGCCAGAAAGTTAAATTTAGAACAAATAAACGGAAGTACTATATTACACTGTTAGTAGTAAATTTAAGAACTTCTAAAAGGTATCAACAACCAAAATACCATGAACACTAACAGGTAAAATACAGAGTAACTGACAGTGCCTCACATTTGTACTCTTGTATTTTTACATCTGTTACGTTATTTGAAAAAAATTATAAGAAACTTGTCATTCTTGTTAGCCAATCAAGTACTAGCAATTCTGTATGGTTCAACCCCATATATTCCATTTGACCCATTTACAGGTTACCCATGGAAATCATGAACATTTGGAGGTTTCTAAGCTTTTGAGAACAATATTTTTAAGGCAACTATCCCTTAATGAAGACAACTTTGTGACATAATGAATTGTACAAAATGAGTCAAGGGTATGCCATTTTTCCAGATTCTTATTACCATAATGAGAGGCCAGACACCTAGGTTCTACCTTTACCTTTCTGATACTAAATATCTGGATAATTAAACATTTTAAGTCACTCAGATCTTTATTTTTTCATGAAAAGTGGAAAAAATTAAAAGTTGGGCCATAATTCTCTCTCTAGGATCCTTACAGAAATGACTTAAAATAAACAGTTCTTATGGGAAACTCAAATTTAAAAACATGCCAACATAAATTCCAGTTCTAAGTGGGCCTCTGTTGTTTAACTACTGTTTTATTATTCAATACATCCAGATTCGTGCTTGCACTAGTGAATCTTATAGGACAACCACTTGTGCATCTCAATTTCCAGGTATTCAGAATTTAATATAAATTTTGGCTATTAAAGGCTAAAGTACAAATTAGCTGGTGAATTAAGAGGGGTCTATATAAAATCAAGACTAAAGTTTACTAATATCACATTTACCAGAGTCTAAAATGGCAGCCAAGTTGGGAGGCCTACATACTATCAGGACTCAAAGTTGACTAAATATCTTATATGCACAACCAGTTTCTGGAACTGACAGAAAAACATCTATTTCAATTTAATATGTGACTCAAATATATACTACTGTGGGTTAACTTACAATTAAATCAATTTAAATATTTAGCAAATATAATAGCACCTGATATGACATTTGTAATAGTGCTGTAAGTCATCTTCCCATGTTCACCAACACAGACATGTCTTAGACCTTTGATACAATGCTAACAAACCTAAAAGAGAAATTTTCTACATTATAAAATAGTACCTACAGCTTAAACAAATGTATTAAATTGAAGTTTAAGCAAAATTAATGCAGAAAATAACAAAACAACCATTATCTACAATACCCAGATTATATTTTCAGATTACCACCAAACTATAGAATCAAAAAGACTTTCAAAGTATTGTCAAAACATAATGCATGAACTATTAAGTATAACCAAGCAAATGTTAGAACAATAAATAGTAATGGTCGCTTTTAGCTTCACATGTAATAAAATGTTCCTTAAAAGCGTGTCACCATTCATATAATTCAATGGAAACAATATGTTATGTACAGTGATACAAAACATCCTGATCTGCAGTCAACATTTGTGTTAAAAGTTTCACACAGACTGAAATTGGGTCAATATTACTATAAAGAAATTACTGGTACTGCCAATAGTATGTAAGTTGAAAAAAATTATTCAGCTTATTCAATAGTTTTTTGGACTTACATGTAAATAAAAAACTTATGTCAATTACACCCTACACAAGCCAAGTACCAGTGTTTAAACATATCTCTGACCAATTTCTTTTTTTAAAAAAAAATACTAGTAACAAATTCACAGGTAAGTTTTCACAAAAGAATATTTTGCTCAAGTTTCAGGAGTCTTTCAGTCACCAGAAGTGTTAGTGGCACCCTCTAGAAAAAGCAGACTGGCTACAACTCTTAATTGTCCTGTTGGAGTAAAAGGAAACAATCTCCATAATTACTGAACATTCTTGTAAGATTTAATTCTCCAATGTACCCACAGAAAGTTTACTGACAATCATGTTCACCAAAACATGTTTATGAATACACTCTTCCCTGATTATGCTGTAATCGAGATTAATAAGGCCTGTATCCGAACAGAACCAAGTTCAAATTAAATGACTGAAAAGTGCTCTGAGGATGAGGGAAGGTAATTAAAGACGGTTAAACATGACTCTAAGCTAATGTAAACAGGACACAAGACCCCCCCACCCCCACCCCAGTGAAACATGCATCATAAGGCTTGCTGCACTTTCATCAGTATCAAGTTAACCCAAATCATTGAGTCTTACCTTCAGAACAGTTTCATTAAATAATTAGGAATGTGTACACACATTTTACATCATGTAACATACATCTGAAAAGCACGAGGATACATCCACGGCCACATTCTCGGCCCTCAAGCTCCCTGCCCTGCGTGGCCTGGATCTCAGTTGGGCTCACCCTCTTTTCATTCCAACCACTTACCAAGAAGCACAGCTGTGGCCAGTTGTGGATAAAATATCTATACGTATAAATGGAGTAGGGTTCAGACAGATCTTTGGTGATCAGTCTCATGATATCGGGCATTTGTAGCTCGGATTCATATCGGACATATCGTATCGTCCGATCCTCCCCAGGCTCGACCTCCCGGCCCGAGGGACTTCTTAAACTGCAACCAGCGGTCAGGGACGAAGACAGCAGCCGCACCTGCTCGTCTTCCTCCTCCTCCGTGCCCTCGGCCAGTCCATTGCGGGCCGCCGCGGGGTCGCTCGCAGCCGCTGCCTCTGCCGGGCTGGGGAGCGCAGTTCTTGCATTATTGGGGAGGGAGTGAAGGGGTCTCTCGCCCGAGTGTACCCCGGCTCCCTTTGTTGCAGTCGCTTTGGGGCCCCCGTCGGGGTTGGCCGTGCTCGTGGCCGCCTCGGTTGCACTCAGGACCTTGCTCTTGAGGGAAGCGGCCGCCCGGAGGTGTCGCAGTTCGGGGCTGATCAATCCGTTGAGCTGCTGCTGCTCCTGCGGCGGCTCCGGGCAGCGAAGGCACGGATGCCTCTTGGCCGCCGCCGTCGCCTCGCCGCCAGCCCGGCTCCTGCCGCCAACGCCTTCATGCTCCTCGTCGTCCTCCTCGTCCTCGCTGCAGCAGGCGAGGGCAGCCCCCGCCGGGAAGGGGCAACGGGGCTCCGCCGCCGCCGGGGCCGGAGGTGCTGGTGGTGGGAGGAGGCTGCTAGGCCCAGGCGGTACCTCCGCCATCCTAGGAGCGACAGAGACCGAGAGAGGAGGCCATGAGACACGACCGACGAGCGCCGAGCAGAGGGGGCAGCGGGCGGGGAGCGGCGGACAAGGGGGGAACAAAGGCAGAAATCGTCCCTCACGGAGCTGCCCCCCAATTCCGTGCCGACCCCCCCAGCTCGTCAGCGCCGCCCAGCTGCTCAGCCGGCCACCGTCCCGGTCCACCCGGGCCCATCCGCCGGCCCTGTCACCCGCGGCACCTCCCCGCCCTCTCCCTGCCGCTCACCCGGCACTGGTCCCCGCCGCCGGTGCCGCCACTCCTCTTCCTCAGCCACCGCCGCCGCCTCCTTCCCCGCCGCGGCCGCCTCCACCGCCGCCAAGGATCTCACCCAGCCGCCGTCGCCGTAAAGCGCCTCGGCTGTTACCCCGGGTAAAGTTTCCTGGGCCTGGCTTTACGACACTTCCCTGCCTGCCGGCTGCCGGAGCCAAGGGAAAGGGGCGTGGAGGGAGGTGACCTGTGGAGGGGCGGGGCCGAAGGTGTCTCCCGCGGGGTTTGCGGGAGGCCGAGTGCTGATGGATGGGACTGTGGGCGGGGAAGTTATCCAGGGCTTTGGAGTCACCGGCTCCCAACCCCCTCTCCTGTTTTTGGGACTCCTCGGCGGTGCGAGCTGCTGCTCCGGGGCGGGGAGCAGGAATGGGGAGGGGCGGGCCCGGCAGGCATTGCCCGCTCTAGTCGGTTGCACCCACCGAGCTACTGTGAATCCTGCCAGCTCGGGGCCTGTGGACCTGGCCCCTCCCAAGTCACCTAAAAGTGCTTTTCGCAGCTGCACAACGTTTAACTTTTGCCCTGATCAGGGGCATGAGGAAGTGAGAAGTGGTTAAAAATGGAGCGAATCAGGGAATCAACTTGAAAAAGAGGGGAAATTTAAAGCTTTGAGTTGTGAAAATATGAGGATGGCTGTAGAAACCTGAGCATTTACAATGTGAATGAGCTTCTTTATCCCTTTGACACGAGAGAACAGGTAGTCCTCTTCCTTTCCCACTTCCTTTGCTCCCTTCTCCCCACCCCCACCCCGCCCCGCCCCCGCCTCCCTTGAAGAAAACTGGAGGTAAAGGGGACTAACTGGTATTGGGCTATTGCAAACACGCCTGGGGAAGGAGTGACAGATAGTGAGCGAAAGAGAGTGAAAACGGCCTAGAAGCACGTTCTTGGTTTTTGACAAGAACTCTGATAGGTTAAGAAGCACCGGTAGAGAGGTGTGTTGATCCTTCCAAGGGGTGCCTAAGGCATAGAACAGCAGCACACACTTGAGTGTGTGGATTGGCTCTTTCTGTTCTTGTCCACAATTGATGGTTTTCTGCAAGTCTGAGCTGAGAGGCTAGCACACTGTGTAACTCTCCTACACACTGTGCAGATACATTTTTTAAAAAAAACTGTTTTGTAGAACTGGTCAGGGGTGCTCAAGGTGGACGTTTCAGGCATATAATTCAATGACTGAACGTATTTTTTACTTTCTGCCATAATCTAAACTCTGTAAAAAGCAGGATACACTGTAGCATGTATGTTAGATACAAGTATTAGAGTTCTTGTCACGATGTTAAAGAAAAATATCACCTTTCACTGAGAGATTCAAGGTATAAGTACAATAATAATAGTAAAATTTGTTACCATGTGCCAGGCACTGTACTGTCTGGTATATATTTATTAACTCATTTAACAGATTTGTGTCCTGAGGAAATATTGACAATTGTGTACAAATAGTGTTATAGAAGTTTGTTGATTTCAACCTCATCTTTAAAGGAAAAAAATAATTCCAAACCAAGAAAGTGTCTGTATACACAAGAATGACTGAACTTACAATGCATAAATACTGTAGGATATTACTGTTAGTTATGCTCTTGTTTTAAAAGATTGAAATATGTGTAGGTACTCTTTCCATTACTATGACTGCTTTGTAAATTACTGCCATAATTTAGCAGTTTAAAATAACTACTTATTATGCTTACATATTCTATGACTCAGGAAATAGCTTTTCTCTGCTTCATTATGACATGACCTCAGTGGAAGAGTCAAAGGTCGAGAAACTAGAATCATCTGTGATTTTCACTCTAAAGCTGATGATGATTGAGGCTGAAGGTCTCAAGTTTTATCCTTGTAGTCCTCTCCATGTGGTCTTTTAGCATGAATTGGTTTGGGCTTCTTTAAAGCCTCTTGATTGTGTTCCTGGGACAAGTATCCCAAGAAAGAAAACCAGACAGAAGCATTTCGCCTTTTCTTGCCTACCCTTAGAAGTCATGGAATGTCAGTTCTGTTGCATTGTATTTATACAGGCAGTAACAAAGTTGCATCCAAGTTCAAGGGAAAGGGAAATAAACCCTATCTCTTGATGGGGAGAGACAAGTTTCCCAAAGGCAAGGTAGGAACAGAAACATTGCTGTGGTCATTTGTTTGTTTGGGTGGGTGGGTTTTGTTGTTGTTGTTTTGTTTTTGGAAAATACAACTTCCCACAAGCACTTACATTTCAAAGACCTCCTAAATACTTAAGGGGGGGGGGGGGTATACAAGATGTATAATAAATATGTGTGATTCCATTTGTTTCTTGTTTTATAGAAAACTATATCCCCAAATCTGCATACATTGTTTAAAGATATATTTTTCAAAAATACATAGATTTTAAGTATTACCTGGGTGTTCAGCCAAACAATGATTTGTTCAAATCATGGCTGAAAAACTGGCCCCAATGGCCTGATTCTCAAGAAAAAAATGTTTAAGGGTAATTTACTTAGAAAAATGTCTCTCAGTTATTCACTTTGGATTATAAACCCCTCCTAAAATACATGTGACTCCACTGGAATGAAAGAGTGGCAGCTAGTCTTCGTGTCCTTTCCATATTGGAACTTGGCCACTGAGCTTGCCCACTTGGCCACTGACTGGATATTGTCTCAGTTAATTTCAGAAGGCTGAGAATTGTAAATATTTCTTTTAGGTCAGTGACTTAAGTGTTACTCAGTTTGTGTTCCCATAACAAACACATAAAGGGGGACTTTTCTTAAGCCTTTTGGCACTCTTATTTAGTAATTCAGGATGCCTAGATTGATGAAATAAATTCTGGTCCCCTTGATAATCAATAAGCTAGTGAATTTTTTGGAATCTTAAGTTCTAGTCACTTTTTTTTATATCCTGGTATCAAAATCCTAATGATGGCCTTATTAATCAGATGACCTCTCTAAGAAATCTCTTTATATTATGAAATTCTTCCTACTCGTGTTTACTTGATATGATGATAAAATTAGTTTAGTCATAGAAACAGAATTAGTTCACTCTGATGCATGAAGTTTATTTGCCTAGTATAAGACTAAAAAGTTGGGGCTGGGGATGTGGCTCAAGTGGTAGCGCGCTCGCCTGGCATGCGTGCGGCCTGGGTTCGATCCTCAGCACCACATACAAACAAATATGTTATGTCCGCCGAAAACTAAAAAATAAATATTAAAAAAAATTCAAAAAAAAAGACTAAAAAGTCAGCTACCTCTATGAACAGTGACATCATATGAAAAGAAATGTTCTCAGAACAGGGCAAGTATAACCAGTGATCCTCTTCTCTCTGGGTAATTGAAATTTTCATGCTTTATAATAATGCAAAGGTCACTTGTTTTTACTATTGTTTTAGTTCTCTTTTGAACAACAAAAGGATACATCTTTATTTTTTAAAGAAGAAATTCATGACTAAAGCCCCATAGCAGTTTCAAAACAAAGTCCTAAAGTAACTTCCTGAAATTAACTTGAAAATAGAAAAATTCCCAATTCTTTCTAACAAAAAGACATTTGTGCCAGATGTGGTGGCACATGCCTGTAATCCCAGCAGCTCAGGAGGCTGAGACAGGAGGATGCAGAGTTCAAAGCCAGCCTCACAATTTAACAAGGCCCTAAGTCTCTAAAAAAAGGGGGGAGGGGGCGGTGCGCAATGGCTGGGGATGTGGCTCAGTGGTTAAGTGCCCCTGGGCTCAATGCTTGGTTAAAAAAAAAAAAAAGACATTTTTCTTTTATTGGCTAGATTTAGAGAGGAAACCTAGCTACATATGTATCTATAAGGTAACTGGGAAAGAAGACATTAATAATGAAAAGATACTTTAATTCTCAGCAGGATGATATCAAATGACGTTCAAAAATGTCATATAATGGCATTTAAACTACATATAATTTATGAATAAATATTTCTGTCATTTTATTTTACATGTCATTTGGTTCTTAATCCTACTAATTCTATTATACATAAATCCCTGAATGTGTGTGTCCTTAACTTTGTTTCATTTTAGATAAAAGGCATACATCAAATTTGAGGGCTATAGAATTTAATCAAAGGAGGAGTATTAGTATATTGTTTTACTACCTGTAATCCTGAAACACTCTACGATTCCTAGGTATTTTAATTAACAATTTGGTTCTTCCTTAGGATTTGAAGGATGACAGTTTGTTATTAATCCTGTCTCCCTTCTAGAACGGTAGTTGGCAGTTCCAATTGTAGGCACAGATTTTGTTTGTAGAACTGAGGTCTTACCGGAGAATGAAGAACCAGAGAGGGTTATGGTTAAATGGTTCCCATTTCCATTATTTTCAACCAAGTACTAACTTTTCATACGAACTTTTCATACTAATTGCCTGAAGACATGGAAAGGTTGTTCTCATACACTTGGGGGCTGCTGAGAAGTGTTGTAGAGAATCATCTGATCCTTCAGTATTAAAGCTATTGAGAATTCTTGGTCTCCACTTTAGCTTTGCCCTCAGCTATCAGTACTCTAGAATTGCTTTACCTGTCTCTTAGGCCAGCTTCATCAAACAGCACCTATCCTCTACCACAACTTGCTTCTTACTTCCTTAGCATTAACTCTGCTGGCATTTCACTGAGAGAAGAGAACTGTTCCATCAGTGCACACCCCCACTTTCCTCTCCAGGCCTATAAATTAATTCATATCTGAATTTATCCTTGCCTCCTTCCCCCTAGTCTTAGAGGATGATAGATGGCCCACCCAGTTCATCCCAACTAATGCCTCTCTCTACCTGTGAGTTTGATGCCATCTCTTTCAGCATTTTGGATCATCTGTCTCATCATTTCTTTCTCCTGAATTTCCCGTGTTACTCTTGCTAGCTACTGCCTTGGAGTTTGAAAAATGTTCCCCATTGGAGACTTTTCCTACTACCATCCTGTCCCTACACCTTTCTATCATGAATTGCTGGTCTGTGATAACAAGCCACTGTCTCCACCATGTGCAGATTAATTCTTCATCCAGTGGATTAGCTTCTTGCTTAACCCTTCCTCTAATACCACTATGTCAAGAGTCACCTGTTAAGACCCAAAGGGTTGGGCTGGGGATGTGGCTCAAGCAGTAGTGCGCTCGCCTGGCATGCGTGCAGCCCTGGTTCGATCCTCAGCACCACATACA